ATCTATCTATCTATATATCTATCCATCTATCCATCTATCTATCTATATATCTATCCATCTATCCATCCATCTATCCATCCATCTATCTATCTATCCATCCATCTATCTATCCATCCATCCATCTATCTATGCAGCAGCAACTCAGGTATTAGGCAGCATATTTTTTTAATATATATATATAAAGGGCCACTCAGATCATATTGAGGCTATGAGGTTCATGATGAGTCAAGGCTTACTCACTTTGGGGACCATCCCTGCCATTTCAGAAGGTACTCCACATTACCCTGAGGAGAAAGAGAAAGAGGGGGGGGACAGAGAGTTACTTATTAGATTCACCCACATTTCCCCCCTCGTTGTGGTGCATAAGAAGCTAAAAGCAAGACCGAAAAAGCAGGACTGTCCCTTTAAGGGTCATACACATTTTAGGCCCTTTTTAAAAAAAATACTGTGTTTTCATGAGGGGGGGGTGACGTCAATGACGGGTGACGTGACCGCACATGGGCTCCACGAGCCGGTCTCTACAATGCTCGAGCTACTTCTAGAACGCTTTGTGATAGGTGGGGCCACGCGAACATGTAAACAACGTGGTGTTGCGCAACCGGAATGATCACAGTCAGAGAGGAAAATAACAACATGACCACATCCATGGGTAAACACAGAGAGCATGTGGAGGAGAGCTTTTATTTGTGATTGTATAATAATTTTTTATTATCAAAATTTATTTTACCTTACAGAGTACACTGTATGAGCACATGCTTCGTGAAAATAGGCCTTACAAATCCACATGTTTCTCCAACGTGAAAAAACCATCACGCAGCACCCAGTGTTATTACGCAGCATTTTCCCACCGATTCTCCGCTGCTCACTGGCGTAACTCATATCAAGTGCGTAGCTCCCCTCACTTTGTCCGTAAGCGCGTTTTCTGGATACCTACACACCCCCTTCCCCGTCTTACTACAGCTGCGTGGGCATCAAAACATGCTTAACGCTGCAGCATCTCATGCAGCCTCACGGAGAGGCTGCAGGAGGAGACTCCTGCTGTGAAACATTCCTAAACTTTGGCACAGTGTATGGAAATAATAGATATATATCTCGTACGTAAAGTAGTTTATAAGGATATTGCCTAGCCTAGTTTTGTGGTGTGCAGCGAATCGGAACACACTGTTCATTATTTGGGAAAACAAGCAAGTTATGTGTTGTGGGTTATTAGTTGTTCTTACCTTTCTCACTCTCTTCTTAGTTATTGACTCCACAGCAAACACTTGGTCTCCTATGAGTCCTACCGATGAGCGCTCCATCGCTCCAAACAACAACGGGGTCTCTGCTGGTTTATTTGAGAAGTGCCGGAACAAAAATAGTTATATGACAGCAAAGTGTCACTGCTGCTGCTCCGATTTCTGTTTCTCTCTCTTTCCTCTCTCCAAAAACTCCCTGAACCTGCCTCCCTGACTTTCTGAAATCTGCGAGTACGACACATCAACATAGGAGGACAAGCCTCGCGCTGCTTTAAGTCCTGCGTACCGCCCCTCCGTTGCGTAGGAACGTAGGAACCGAGCCCCCAATGCGCGTTCCCGAGACGGCGTGACCGCGTACGCAAATTGGGGCAGAGTGCAGAAGAGGGGCAGAGAGGAGGGTGAAGCGCGGTTGGGGTCAAAACCACAAGGTTAATAAACGTAGGGGATGGAGTGGAAACACACAACGAGGGATTTCACAAACATTTTATTTTTAAAAACATAGAAATCAATATGTTTTAGGAGGAATTCTGACTCAGTGAACACATAGTATACTTATATATATTTAAGATAAGATAATATGAACCTTTATTGATCCCCGTAGGAAATGCAGGTGTCGTAGCAGCAACAGAATAAGACAGAAAGACAAATAGTATAAGAATACAATAACAAAAAAGTAGTAAAAGTTGCTCAACATCCAGTGTTTTGCACCATGGGAAACATTTCCTAATTATTCCAGTAGGAGGGATTTTAACACAGTGAACTAATCTTTTTTAATTTATTTCAGCGCATAACTTTTTTTTACTTTACTTTTTTTTTACTTTACTTTTTAGAAATGTTGTATAGAAATAATTCTTTGAATGCAGCAAATCAGATGTGTAGCCAAATACCATTATCACAAATGTATTAAAAGGTAATACAAGACAACAAATCAAAGCCCACTAATTAACATACCATTGGGATTATTATGTGCGGGAGGCGTGTGGTGCAGTGGGTTGTGTGTTGGTGTTCGGATCAGGGGGTAACAGGTTCAAACCCCACTGCAGTCAGCATGTCGTTGTGTCCCTGGGCAAGACACTTCACCCCAAATTGCTCCTGTGGGGATTGCCCACAGTATTGAGTATGTAAGTCACTTTGGATAAAAGCTTCTAACAAGTGATATGTAATGTAATGTGCCCTAGCAGGGAGCATTTAGCATACAACAAATAAAATATTCAGCCCAAAGTTTCCCGTAAATGGACAAATTATACACATTTTCTATGGATTCAAGAGCAACGAGTCAGCTGACGGCAGATGTTGTTGGTAATGCATGAAGCCAGGCTAGCTGTTTCCAGTCTTTATGCTAAGCTAGGCTAACACTCTGTTGACTGTAGCCTTAACTTGTCACCAGAAAACACATTTTTATTCCTCACACTGTCAAACTATTCTGTTAAGATAATTCCAAACAGTTCACGTCAATGAAATCACAACCTAAAACTTGATATAAAGGCTTTCTGCTCTCTCACATGTAAGTCATATGAGGTTTTGCACAGAACACACTGAACTCCAGCCTCACCGTTGAACAGAGCGTTATGTGCTTATGTATTTTTATGTAACAGTAGTAAAGGCAGGAAAGATCAGAATCTGCAATGGAGATGAAAGCCTCGCTTCACTCGCTGCTGGAAATGTTCAACCCTCCAGCCGTGTTTGATCCAAATATGGAACAAAAACATCTTAATTTCACATCCTGAATGCTAAGCAACACCTCTGCAGAGAGAGCGGCTGTAAATAAGACTGAGAACAAACACTGATCTGGATCTCAGCGATAATTAAGACATTAATGATCATTTATGATTATTATATTTAATACTGAACACACACACACACACACACACACACACACACACACAACTCTTATCCAACTTCATACCTGAACGAGTGAGGACCAGGCATAAAGTGACTGCTTTGGAAAAAAGGCCCAGAGCCAATATTTCCTAATATCTTTCAAAGGGGCTAGTGTGTATCAGATTACAGTAAAACTCTCTGTAACTCACACACACACACACACACACACACACACACANTGTTGTATACAGTATATTCATATTTGTCAGTGATTTCATGTTCATGTGTGTGTGTGTGTGTGTGTGTGTGTGTGTGTGTGTGTGTGTGTGTGTGTGTGTGTGTGTGTGTGTGTGTGTGTGTGTGTGTGTGTGTGTGTGTGTTTGTTTGCGTTTGCCAGCAGTCAGACTGAGATGCTGCTGCGTTGTTTGGCCCAATTACAGGCGACTGAAGCGAGATCTTTTGCTTCATAAAATCTCTGTCAAACTAATAATTTGTCAATTGATACACTAACGAAATATGAAATGACCTGACCCAAAGCTGGGTGTTTCTGTCATCAGTCACACAGAGGCTCACTGGGAGGGGGGATGTGGAGTTAATCAGCGTTCTTAACTGAGGCTGTGATGATCTTGAACCTATGTACTAACCGTGTATCAGCAGCGTTCTACCTCAAAAAGAAACTCAAGCTGCGGAAGGTTTTATATGTTGCATAATGAGCTATGTTGCTTATATATCAGCAAAATAACTACTTGCCATGTAGAGATGTAATCTATACCAGAGCAGAGAATCATTATTTACTGTGCAAATACTGGCTGGTTTATACTCCATGTTAAAAGTGTTAGATTTGGCAGCACTCTGTCAGCTCTACTGCTGCTGTCTGCACCGTTAACAACTGACACTCTTAGCAGCGGTATACTCAGCCGTTCTCATCATGACAACTGTTTGGAGACAATACAGATAAGATGTACTTGTAAAAATAATGTCTTGCAGCACCATAAAAAACAAGGCATTGCACATAATTGGAAATTAAAAGAGTAGAAATAAACAATTCTAAAATATTAACATCTCAAAATAGAAATAAACCAATCTCTCGATCATAGATGCTATGAATTTTGTATTAGCACCTTTGACTCGGAGATGGGTAGATTAGCAAAGAAAAAATACTGTTACTTTAAAAGAAAAGTTACTTTCAAATTACTTTTTGATTTAGCCTAGCCACTAACATAAAGGAGATATACTTTGTGTATCTTCAATGCCTACTAAACTATGAACTTAATTCATTTTTTGAGCCTAGGTGAGAAATCATTGGATTAAATAAGCGATTCAGATTCAGCTACCCTAACTCTGTCACATGCTCATGAAAATATACCCTAGCTTTGCAGAGGCTGTGCCTCTTGGGGAGAAACCGAAAGAGACATGCACTAAAACAGAGCTTCTCAGACAGAGGTTCAATACAGGTGCATCAAGCATGTGACAGTGTTATGGTAGAAACACAAAATACATGAACCTGAAAATGAGCACAACGTTTTCCTTTTTTTAATTAAAAGGAAAATACCTTCAAACCACTGCATTTTTATGTGAATATTACATGTTCCCATGTATTGTTTCCATTCCAATCACAGACAGCGACAGATCAGATGTGACCTGAGAAGTGGCCAAATTAGTTTAATCCCATTGTTAATCTTTAATATCAGATGACTCATTTAGGCTAATTAGGAAATAATGACTTGTCGTTTTATCATCTTGAATTGCCTATTAAATGAGGGCGTGTTCACTTAAGGCCCCTACACACCGGGCTGATTTTCGGCGTCGATAGATGTCGATAGATGTCTGGCTGTCGATGAGCGTCCTGTCGTCCTACTCAGATTGGTGTGTCCCGCCCCGTCGTGTCTTTTCGGATGTAAAACGGATCTGCAAATACGCTAAATATTTTCACAAAATAAAATAAGATCTAATACTATAAATAATTTACAAATAAACAAAAGGAATTTGTGAATATCTCTTTAACATTGACAACTTTCGATCAGGCATTGGAGAATCTATTTTGTATTTGTCAACCAAAAATGCGCTTGTGGATCTCAAATCTCTGCTTGTGGATCTCAAATCTCTGCTTGTAGATCTCAAATCTGTGCTTGTGGATCTTCTTTTTACACACACATGGGCCCTTTCTCATTTCACAAATTACCCCTCCTAGACTCCTCGAATCCTCCGGTAATGACAACATTTAGCCTTACTGAAGGCTAACGTAAATACGGTGCTTTTCTACAGATAACCTTACCACTGCACTGGTAACGTAAAACTAGGCCAATTAATAAGATGGGAAGTGCTTTGTAACTTTGACCCGCTTAATGAATACACACAAAATATCGAACGAAAGAATTATCTCTGGGGCTGCTTCGCTGCCAGCTGTAGCCCCCCGGGACCCAAAAGTGGCGTAACCTAAGTAGCCTAGTTCAACAACATCAATGCATACGAATGTGCTCGAAATAGGCTGCATTGAACAAATAAACTAACACAAACTAACTGTATCACTATAACATGTGATACATTCTTTATCTTGGTGATAAAGAATGCACTTAACGTAACACTGTTCATTAAAGTAATACAAAAACGGCACATTAACCAAACCATCATGTTCTTACTTTGAAACCTTGAAATCCGGAAATGTCATCATCAGCGGGACATCACGTGGTTTCCGAAATTAACTGAGTGACACGAGCAGATTTTGGTCGAGACCGGCGGAAAGTTTGTCTCAAAAACTCTGTGGCCCTTTCTCATTTCACTAATTTCCCCTCCTCGACTCCTCGAATCCTCGGTCCTCCGGTAGTGAAAATATTAGTTGTGGCCAAACGGCGTTACTACACTTCCGTATCAGTTGCTGGGCCCGGAAATACTTTTTCCCATTGGGAAAGAGACGTCTGTAAATCGTTGGATAATTGTTTTTAAACTAAATAAACTACCAAGTATGAACATTTGTATAGTCCTTATTAAAAACATTAATTCATTCATTATTTTCCTCGGCATTATGAACGCGGATCTAACCTACGGGACCGCGCCGCCCGGCACGTTCATGTGACGTGTTCAGTACTACATGAGTTTTACCTTTACCCATGGATGCACAATAAGAACAGATTATATGATTATATGAATACTTTCGTGACGTTTCGCTCTCTCAAAAGTTGAGCCATTTTGTCTTCATGCGCCAATGAGCAACTCTCATAGGAATGAACGAGGCCCCGCCTCCCACGCTGTATCCAGTTCTTATGATACATCCATGGGTGTATCATGCAGTCTGTCTTCCAGTTGTTGCCTCTTTTGATTGACTAATACACACTACCGCCGCCTGTTAGTAAGGAGAGTTATTGCCACTCACGCATGCGCAGCTCGTACGTGCTACTTGGCCGTCGGCAGAAGTCTTTGCAGTGTGCTCCATTGCAACTGTTTGCCAAGACGCAGGAGACGTGAGGCGACA